AACAATTTTTTTGGAGCACCTCATCCTTTATGAGGTGTTCGAGTGAACTTCAAAATATCACGTCTATTCCCTAAAAATGTGTAAGTCTACGAGGGAAATCATTTCATCCACTGCAAGGATAATGTTTGAATAGTTGCTTCAATGTTTTTTCCCGGACCTGCTCGCTCAAATACATGAACAGGTTGAGAACCATTGTTGTAACATTTGCATGGTAATTCGATAGCTCTCGCAAAATAAAGAAATCAATCATCGAAGGCAATGACTAGATGTTGAACAAAAAACACCTTAGGCATCAGTTGCTCTCTGGGGATTATAGGTGAAGCACAGCGTAAAAAGAATATAAAAAACTTATAATATCTTAGAGTACTAACCTCGCAGCCTTGAGCATTCGATTCCATGATGAAACGAAGTACACCATAACATGCTCTTCTTACTGCAAGACCACCAACCAATTTGTATCGCAGTGATTCGCACTGAGCAACTGCACACAAACCACGGTTCGACACTTTTTCAGCGTAAAGCTAAACGGGATTAATACAGTCCCATAGCCGTTTAAAACTGATTTCACACAGAACAAAACACTCATAAAAAAATTCACTTCCCTAATAATTACACCGATGTGATGATGAGAATTTTATGAACAGTCTAATAAATGAATCATGTTACTGATTGAAAATTTGCAAGCGATCGTTAGTGGTCAATGCCATGACTCGATTCATTCATATGAAGAAGAACTATACTCACAAAGGTTTTTCACCAACCCATTTCATCTCTTATAGTTAATAAAGTAGAGACAGAAACAAACCTCAACAGATCCCTCAGCGAATCCGAAACGTTTCTGTACAACGGACGTCAATTCTCTAATACGACGACCACGTTCACCCAATACACTTTGAGTACGCGTCGCCATTATGATCACCTTAAATTATCCATCCATCACCCATCACACTAAAAACACACCGAAAACAAATCGAGTACGACTTGCAAATTCTGTTCCAGTGGAGTTTTTAAATTTGTTCATTCCTTTAATTGAACAACTCTTTTATTCTAAAACTGCTTTGTTTGGCTGCTTAAAAACTGTCAAACAAATCAGCTTTAGAATGCTGCCAAAATGACACTACGAACAATGAGATAATAAGGTGACGACACTGTTTAATAAAACAGCGAAGAAATGGAAAAATCACTGAATGTTTAGAACAATAAAATATGAGCATACCTCGGCACGAGCAGGAGTTCGACGAACTTCCACACCAGAGTAGCCATCTTCGGCCAACTCTTTCATGAGAAAATTATTCAATTCAGCTTTGAAAACACCATCTTGAACGGCCTTTCGTTTCTTTGTAATTTGTTGCGCCGCAGCCATGATTGCAATTTAACACACCTGAGCGTAATTACTGGTTTCCCCTTCAATATGAATCAAATGATTCAAAGCAACTTCAACGGAATAATCGACTATAAATATCGTAGCGCATATAAATGCAACTGCGGACGATAAACAAAACTGAAACGTAAACGCTCATAAAATTTGAATAAATCAATCTTGCGAATTTGTTTCCTTCACTACAAATATTTCACAAAATTCCAAAATACTGCACAATTCCAAATGGCGAAAATTTCAAACTCCCGAGCACCAAACATAAAAGATTCAGGAGAACAGAAAACGATCATGTTCTCAAGAGATGAGTATTCGGGATGGGAATACTGTTCAGCGTATACGCTTGTTCCAGAGACAAATTCGGCTACCGAACATATTTTATGGTGGAATTTTCCAAATTCCGAATGTTATGAAGTGATCACACTTAACCACAACGCACTAAACAGCAGAGCATATAACAGGTAAAAAGGCCACTGTATGATCACGTACATATTCAGCATTCCGAACGGTACGAACGCCAACTGATTGGGATTTTAGCATTCTAAACAGCACAATTACATAATTTACTACGTCCCCCAACTGTGCTAACGCTTTACACCTCATTTCCTCAACAAAAACGGATTTCCACCGTAAATGTACCGAAATTACCAAAATAAACGAATACTTTACTGTGTGGGATTTCAGTTCCTGTTGAAAAATTCATTATTTAAGTATTGCTATTACGGTAGTCAGGCAACGTTCTATGTGCCACACTAAATGAC